GTCCGACTCAGCGACCCCATGGACTGCAGCCTACCAGGCTCCTCCGCCCATGGGATTTTCCAGGCAAGAGTACTGGGGTGGGGTGCCATTGCCTTTTCCAAAACTAACATATTGATTGACCTTTATTACATCAGTTAGATTGGAGTACATCAAAAATACTGAAGGATTAGTAAGGATGTTACCTCCATTGGACGCACGTCTTTGTTTTAAGAGTTATTATGGATATTCTTTAAACTTTATGCTTGTTGGTATTAATAAAGTCTTAGATATATGTATTTTTTGGAGGGGGTTGGAGGAAGGCATATTGGAAATTTATTGGGGCTTTTAAGTCCAGGGTTTAACACCGGACTAATGCACCTGCTGCCCCCTGGTGGCGGCGTATTAAACAGTACGGTTCAGAAGAGTTCTGGAGGGCGCAAGTCCATTCGTTGTAGAAGAGGATTGTAGAGGGAGCCAGGATATAGTTTCTCTTTCCAGCTTTTCTCATAATTACTGCCTGTAATTATGACCTCAGGCAAATAATGTGGTTATATTTAAGTCTATATTTCACTTTCTTCCACTTTAAAATGTAACTTCTTCCTGTTTTAATATTTTAAATTCTGCAATGGTAACAACAAATATTAGTGAAATGTATCAGGTTCCGCTTTTTCCTTTATTAGCTGAATCCTAAAAAATCCCGGATATATATTCAGGAAAGCAGACTCCAGAGCAACTCCTGAAGCTTAACACAGATTTGACTCAGGACCACGAACTGCACAGACCTGTCTGTAGCACAGTCCGTAATGAATCCGCATGGTGACTGTGTGTTATTATGAAAGCATAAATGATACAAGTTGCATCACTTAAAAGTTAATTTTCTTATATTTATTAGTGGTTTTTAGAAAACATGAGATTTACCATCGTAACCATTGTTAAGTGTACAGTTCAGTGTATTTATAATGTTGCACACAGATCTCCAGAACTCTTTCATCCTGCAGAACTGAAAGTCTTACCCAGTCAACAAGTCCCCATTTCTTTCTCTCTGCAGCCCTTGGCAACCATCATTCTACTTGACTCTGGTACCTCCTATAAGCTGAATCGTAACAGTCTTTGTCTTTTTGTGATTGACTTATTTCACTTAGCACATTGTCCTCAAGGTTCATCCATGTTGTAGTGTGTGCCTGGAGTTCTTTCCTCTTCAGGACTGATGATGATGTATAGAGACTACATTTTGTTTGTTCGTCCATTGATGGACACTTGGGGGGCTTTCATTTCTTAGCTATTATATTATTTCATAATTATATAATATATATGTTACTGATGCAGAGAGGCCTTGTTTATTCAGTTTTTTTCTGTGTGTAAAAGGTTAAACTTCATCATAAAGGACACCAGTCAACCACGCTAGATGACTAGGATATGGCTTTTTTTTATGAATGAGTTAAAAAGGAACTAACATCCATTAGACACAAACTCTGTGCCAAGTACTTACATATCTGTGATACATTCTGTTGCTTAGTCCTTATGATAATTCTTTGATTTATCCTCTCTCAGAAGGGGACTGATACTTACTAAAATCACCATGTGCCAGAATTTTGATGTACTGAATATATTATCTCATATAATCCTCATACATCAGAGTTGGAGGTGGGCATCATTATCCCCATTTTTTACGTGATATAACTGTGGTTCAGAGGGATGAAACACCGTGAGCAAGGTCACACGGCTAACAGCATCAGGGTTCCACCTGACGAGGAGGTGCAACACGTCCAGCGCAAAAGCACATGTCCTTCAGTCCCTGCTCCCCCGCTGCCAGGAGTAACACCTGCTCCCGCGGTCCTGGGGGTGTGCTCCGTCATCTTCTCTGAGGGTTCCTGTGTGCCTAGCATGACTCTCCTTGGGATCTAAAAACCTAGAGCGGGGGCCAGATTGAACCCCCAGGGCAGTGTGAGGCAGAGAGAGACAGGGCTGGACAGTGGCTGACCGCTGTAAACAGCATGAAGAGACTTGACCCTCTGAATGTGTTACCCCAGCCTTACTGGCTGCAAACAACACACACCCACCCACAGCTTGGGGGGGAGGTGAGACTCTGGGGGCCACTCTGCTGGGTGGCTCTAACTCGGGCTGGTGGGACCATGGTCACTCCAGACTGACTTGGGGAGATCTGAGCTCACCCACGTGACAGCCCGTAGGCCTTGGGTTCTCTCTGTCTCTCTTGGGAGACCTCAGTTCCTCTCGACGTGGACGTCTCCTGACTAGAGAGGCTTGTCGCTGGCTTTCCGGAGAGCAAGGGGCTCAGATGGAGCAAGGGTCTTGTTATAACCCAGCCTTGGAGGTGACAGCCCACCAGTTCCTCTGTGTTCTGTTTGAAGCGAATCCCTAGACCCAACCTTCACCCGGGGGGCAGGATCACGGGGGTCACCTGCGAGGCTGCCCACCAAAGCTCCAGGCTGGGACTCAAGACAGCAGCCTGGAGGCATTGAGACCTCTTGGGTTGGGGGGGGGCTGCTCCTCCAAGACGTAAGGAGGTGGAAAGGACCAGGTGGTTCGAGTCTGCCCAGGTGACCCGCGTGCAGCCGCCAAGCAGCATCGTCTTCAGAGTCTACTGATGAGATGCCGACCATGTACAAAACTACCTGTGTTTTCTCACTGCTGGCCGGTCAGCAGATCTTTTCCTGGACTTCAGTGATGAGAAACCAGCTTCTGCAGAGAGGGCTTTGCAGGACCCCTTTGTGTCAGGAAACACTAGGCAGTTACCTTGTTTTAACACAGGTTTTCAAGTCGCGAAGTACCGGGGCTGTAACTTTTCAGTCTCATCTTACAAGTGCCACTGTGCCTGGACTTTCCGTAGTGAGACGCATTACTCGGTGGCCAGGCAGCTGAACCAGGCTCCACGGTTCTCACGCGTCCTCTCACAGGTCCACACTGTGGCCTTTACTCATGATGTCGGAAGGACTATGTTTCTCCTTCCTGAAATCTACCCCCTTTGATGTCTGACCTGAACATAAAGTACGTGAAAGAATGATGTATTCACAGATCTTGGATATTTAGTTTCTGGTCACATTATCAGTTATCAGCAAGCCTGTCTAAAGATTAACTGAATTTGGGGAGGAGACGGGGACCCACAGGGCCAGAAGATTGAGGGGCTGGTGACAGACCATCACTCATGAACTGTTACATCCAGAGAAAAAGTATTTCAGGTTTATTTTGCTACTGTCTTTTCCTTGCATCACTATGTTCAAAATTAAAAAGCAAATATAAAAAACCATCCTTTAAACCTGTGTGATTCCTGAGAATGCGGCTCCCTGGGTCCTGGCTGAAGCCTTGAGCCGGGCATCTGGGTGTCCCTGCCAGCGAAGGCCTGGCTACAGCGCCGTGGGTGCACCCAGCACAGAGCACACACAGCCCTGGACTGTGTTATGCTGGTGACACCAGGTGTTGAGAGTAAAAAATGTAATCTCTTCCACAGTTTTAAAATGGTTAGTTTTGTTTCTTAATATTTATACATGGGCCGACCTTGAATCCTAAGAGAGTAAACATAAACTGTTTACTTAAAAAATGTATATTCAGAGCTCCTCTGGTGGCTCAGTGGTAAAGAATCTGCCTGCCAATGCAGGGAACATGGGTTTGATCCCTGGTCCAGGAAGATCCCACATGGCACAGAGCAGCTAAGCCCAAGCGCCACAACCACTGAGCCTGTGCGCTAGAGCCCAGAGCCGCAGCTACTGAACCCTGGCCCACAGTTGCAAAGCCCATGTGCCCCAGAGCCCGTGCTCCACAACAGGGTAGGCCGCCGCCCCGCCACAGCCAAGAGAAGCCCACGCAGCAACGAAGACCCACAGGCAAAACTAAAGACTACAGAGAAAGTGTATACTCGGCAGTGTTGTTTAGGGAACGGCCTCATAGTTACACAATGATAGGGAAATTCAAAGGACTAACAAGTACTAAATTTGAAAAGGGCCACCTTGTAGTTAGCCTAAGATATTTTTTAATTCGGTATTATCTTTGTTTTTATGTATTTTGTTTTCCTTTTTGTATGACTTGGACTTAGAGCATTTTTCTAAGAAAAGATGTATATTTGTACATATGTTAATGTTTGGAAAATTTGCTTTTCTCATTAATTAAACTTTCCATATAGATGAAGGCTAAGAGAACATCTTTGCTAGAAAGTCTTGTGAAAATTAGCTTGCTTTCCTTGTTTTTACAGTATACAGAACATGATGAATCCTCTTTAATCCACAAGTTAGAGATTGTTCAAAAGCATCAATATAGACTGAAAGATCTTATTCACAAAAGGTAAGGTGTGGAAGCAATGGATGAAGAAAATGTGTATATCTGTATATGCATGTGTACAATATTATATTACATACATGGGATTATATACACAGACGTATATAAATTTACTCAGCCATAAAGAAGAAGGCAGGCCTGCCATTCACAACAGCATGGATGAACCTGGAGGATGTTATGCTAATATTTCAACCAAGTATTTACTAGGAAGCTGCTTTGTTCTCATTTATCTCTTTGTGATCAAAATAGAGACAGTTGGCTAAAGGAGCATTTCCAGGACCAGACAATGAGCCCGCACACGTTCTCCACACAGGTTTTGTTCCGTGGGGAACAAGTCCAGTGGGTCCCTGTCCTTCAGAGGGTTGGCAAGAGGGAAGAGAACTGGAAGGTGGGGCGAAAGGCAACTGGTGCGCTCAGATGCGAAGGGCGGAGGAGACTTTAGGACGGAGCAGGACCGAGCTGGGGAGTGCAGGGTGGGTCGGATTTGGGGGGAAGGTGTCAGTGTGGGGTCCCGGGTGATTGTCAGAGATTATCAGTGGGGGGCTCTAGGCAGGGCTGGGGGGCAGGGGCCAAGTTGGTGGGGCTCAGGCCACAGTCATGGGGGGTGGGGAGCGTGGCCGGGCTGCCAAACAGCTGGATGGGACACAGGGGCGTCTGAGCTCGAGGGTGAGGGTGGTGGGCGAGGGGATCCTGCAGGGAGAGGCTGGCTGGGACCGCGACTGTTTGAGGCAGGTATGGGCAGAGGCCACAGGAGGAGGGGGCCACACGGGCAGCCTGGGGAGTCTGATGCCGGCGAGAGAGAGCTGGGAGAAGAGATGGCGCGGAGAGGCGAGCAGGGGGCCCGGCTCGAGCCGGGTCAGGGCGAGGGGCCAGGGCACCCTCGGGGGAGCAGTCGGGGAGCCCCCCAGCCAGGGCGCTGGGTGGAGGCTGAGGGAGGGGCGTCTCCGCACAGAGGATGGAGGGTTGGGTGCCTGAGGCTGCTCGGGGGCTGGGGGGACACCGGACGGGGGGCTCAGACCCCGGAGCTCATCCCTCTCAGTTCTGAAGGCCGCAGGCCCGACATCCAGGTGCGGCTCCTCCCCAGGCTGGAGGGCCAGTTGACTGCACCATGGTTTGCTCTCCACTCTGGGCTGGCCTTGAAGCCAGGAGGTGGCTGTTTGAAAAGAATCTCCTGTTTATTCGACAGAAATTTCCAGAGACATGTATTAATGTGAAATAAGCCTGTGTACACCTTGATGTGTTTGCTAAACAGGTGAACCAGTAAAAATGAAGTAACTGGAAGGAAAAGATTTCTCCCTATTTGCTCACGTCTCTCTCCTCTGGGCCAGTGCATGTGGGCAGCCAGATCTTTTAAGGCCTCAGTCCTGTTGCAGTAAATTTCCCCAGTGACCCACGTTAACACATTCACCTCTAAAGACCCTGTCTCTGGTGCAGTCACAGCCTGACTTCAGCATGTGAGTTTGGAGGGACACAGTTCATTCAGCCTGTGATGGATGTAAATGTAATCTATCCAAGGACGATTGGATAAACTGCTTACGATTCAGGATGAGGAAGCCTTTGACTTTGCCCTGTGTTTTCAGAGTGTCGTGGGCCGGGGCAGGGGGTAAGTGCGCCTGAACTCTGGAGGCAGCCGGTCTGCGCCTGCTGGCTGTGTGGCTTTGGGCAAATCCAGCACTTTCTGCCTACAGTCCTGTTGCAGCTTTCTCACAGGTAAGATGGAAGTGAAGGTGCCTGCTTCGTCGGTCGCTGCGAGGTGAAGTCGGTGAAGATGTACGAGGCTCTTGGAGCTGTACTTGGTCCCCAGTGAGCGCTGTCGGAGGGCTGGTTGTGGCTGTCGGCCACGCCAGGTTTGGAGAGGGTGGTGTTTACGCAGAACTACAGTGTGTATATGAGGATGGATGGATTTTGTTGTATAGAATGTCTAGAGTTGGTGGGCAGGGGCTTCTGACGTCATGGAAAAATTAAACAGTGCTTCTGTGTACTTCTGGTCATTTGACCTCATGGCCGAGCCTGTGGTGTAGGCAGGATGGGAGTTTGCTCCCAGCGAGGCTGAGCGCGGTCCCCCTGGGGCAGCCCTGGACACAGCCGCTTAGCACCCTGCAGCCAAGTATGGCCTGGAAGACGTCCCAGGCCACGAGGCTCTGTCTCCGCTGTCTTCTCAGGGCAGGGAGATTCTGGAGGGTGATCTTTTGAGCAGAATTAATAACATTCTTTGTTGTTTGTGTCATTCACAATAACTCTACTATCTATGGTCTCGATGTTTGTGTCCTCCCACCAAGACTCATATGTTGAAATCTTGACCTCCAGCCTGTTCGTATTTGGATGTTCGGCCTTTGGGAGGGATTAGGTCATGAGGTTGGAGCCCTCACGGATGGGATCAGTGCCCTTATAAAGGGACCCAGAGAGCTCCCTGCCCCTTCCGCTGGGCAAGGACACAGTGAGATGCCCTCTGTGAACCAGAAGGTGGGCCTTCAGTCAGCACTGAGTCTGCTGGTACCTTGATCTCAGACGTCTTACCCTCCTGACTGTGAGAGATGAATGCGGTTTATCAGTCACCCTGTTCGTGGTGATGTTGTCAGAGCAGAAAGACAGACCCCTGTGTGTGGGGTCCCTGCACGTGGATGACTCCGGGCTGGGTGCTTCACCTGTGCCATCTCAAGGGTGCCCACCCGCCTCTGGGAGGCACAACTGAGCGATCGGACGGAGGAGGACACCGAGGCTCAGCGGTCCCGTCGCTTGCCGGCGCCAGTGCCCAGGCCGGTCTGATCCTGAAGCCAGTCCCCACAGCGGCAGCCCTCCCACCCGGGGCCCGGGTGGAGGTGTGGCATGCAGCCTCGGCAGCAGAGCGGCCAAGTTCTTCTAAGTGACAGGCCCTCGATGCACAAATCTGTTTTCTTTTTGAAGAGAGCAAAGGAGGACCACTTGGAGATCATTTCGAAATCACATAGTTCGGGTGTTTGTATCGCCAGGGAAGACAGTCCTCGTGTCTCAGAAGAGCCCTCAGTGGCAAGACAAGCTCTAAACTGGGTCAGAAATGGGAGTAACAAGGCAGGAGGTGCATCTCACCTCTTAATAACCATCAGGAATAAGCAGCTCACAGGGGCAGTGTGTGACTATATTATGGAAATTTTGCTTATATGAGAAAACAAAAAGTAATAAAACAAAGTCCAAGGAAGCTTAGATGTTAATAATTAATGGTGAGTTCAAGGAGGTTTAGATAAGTAATGGTGGGTTAATATGAGAACTTTAACTCGAAATACCAAACCTGAGAGGTGAAAGTGTCCCAGGAGTATTAATGTGTAATGAGAAGGAGGTGAGTGTAGCCAAGAGCTCACCGCTGAGCAGAGTCAGAAGTTAGAGAGGAAAGAGGGGCCTGCTTCCTGGGACTGGGTACTCGAGACAGTGCCCGGTTGATGGGGTCTGAGGGCCTGTGCTTGCGGTGGAATGCCCCCCACCCCCTGGCCCCTAGCCTGGAGGAGACGGGGGAGGATGCAGCCTGGGCCATGGGCGATGTTCTGGACAGCAGAGATCTCTCCACACACACACAGCAGTCTTGCTCGATCACATGTCCTGGTTCTTGAGAAAATAACTCAGTTGTGCTCTGAGGACACTGTATCCCAGGAACACACTTACACATAAACAGAAAACTTGGACAAGAGTCTAGCAAAACAGAGATGCATTATGTGAAGAAATGGAAATGCCTGTAACAAACCAAACCAAACCAAACGGGCAGGCCAGCGGAAGGGATCTGGCGGGGTCCGGGGCTGCTGGCAGGTGAGGAGGCTGTGGGTCCTTACCTGGGAGGGTCACACGGGGAACAGTGGAGACGGGCCTTGCAGGCACTTGCTGCCCTGGGGACTCTGTCTTCTGGGGGCCCTGGCTGACCAGGGGGTTTCCTGCAGCCAGGAAGTATGATGCCATCCTGTTGAGACTGGAATTAGATCCAGGGCAGTTTGGGCTGTCTCTGGAAATGGGCTTGCATGGAGCTCCCCTGGGCAGAAACTAACAGAGAAGGGCTTCTCAGCCATCTTCGTTCAAACTGGAGTGGAGAGGAATGGGCAAGTCACTCGGGCAAAGAAGACAAGGCCTAAAATTCACAGGGTACGAACGTTTTACCAGAAGCAAGTAAAATCACGGTGGATTAAAAGGGCTTTGTTCAAATGCTGATGTTTGATAGGCCTTTCAAAAAATAAATAGGCTCTATTGATTTGGGTGTGAAAAAATATACCCATGTAATAATTAAAGTTCAGTGAATTCTAAAAAAATGTTCCACGAGTTGTGACAAAGTTACGCACTCAGGGAATCGCCACCATAATCAGATACAGACCATTTCCTCCAACCCAGAAGGGGCCCTCATGCTCCTCCGGCCGGGCTTCTGCCCGAGCCCTGCCCTCAGCAGTCCCCGCTCCACTTACGGTCACTTTGGTGTGCTGTTCCAGAACGTCACTGGACTCTTGCTGCACATCATCTTTTGTGTCTGGCTGCTTTCACTCAGCACATGCGTTTGAGATTTGTCCATATTATTGTCTCTATATCCCTCAGTTTGTTTATGGATACGTAACTTAATGGACACTTGGGTTGTTTCTAGCTATTGCCTATCATGAATAGAGCTGCCATAAACACTCATGTACAGGTCTTTATGTAGATGTATGAAATCATTTATGGTGGGAGTATTCCCAAGAGTGAGACTGCTAGGTTATATGGTGAATATACATTTAACTTGGAAGATTCTTCCCAAAGTTACTGCACCATTTTGCATTCCCAGAAGCAAGGTACTAGAGTCTCAGTTACCCTACATCCTTGCCACCATGACTTGATATTAGCAGTAATTTCAGTTTTGCTCATTATGGTAGGTACTGTATGATAATATCTCATTGCGGTTTTTATTTTCATTTCCCTAGTGACTAATGATGTTGAGCACCTCTTTGGGTGCTTACTTGAGATTCATATATCATTGATATAGTATCTGTTTGAATCTTTTGCCCATTTTTAATTGGCTTCTTTTGCTTCTTTTTGCTTCTTCTTTTGCTTCTTGTTCTGAGTTATCTGTATATTCTGGACACAGATCATTTATCCGATATATAATTTTTGTTTTGCAGACAATTTCTCCCACTCTGTTTGCCTTTTCATGTAATCCTGGATGCATTTTGAGGGCAGACTCTTGATTTTGATGAAGTCCAGCTTATCTATGTTATTTGTTCTTCTTGCTTCCTAATAAAAGGTTTTCTTCTAGAATTTTAGCTCTTGCAGTTGGATACATTTTGAGTTTAAGTATATTTATATGATGTGAGGTAAGAGTTGTAGTTCATTTTTTTTGCATATGGATAGTCCATTGTTCAGCATCGTTTGTTGCAAAGACGGTCCATTCTTGAATTGCCTTGCCACTTAAATCAGAAACATCTAGCTGTACAAATGTGCTCTACCTCTGGACTCTATTCTGTTCCGTTGATTGTTTTTACCAGTTATTTTTATTGAGATATAAATCACATACCATAAAATTCACTATATTAAAATGTACAGTTCATTGGTTTTTAGTATATTCACAAGATTATGCAACCACCACCACTATCTAATTTTACATCATTTTCATCACCCCCAAAAGACTGTTCCAGTGATTTTTCTTCTCCCAGATTCGCTTATATAATTGACATATAGCATTGTTTAAGGTCCAGTGTGTTCTAATACACTTAATATACTGCAGTATGACTACCATCATGGTACCTCATACCATTCATACTGTTGGAAATGGCAGGATTAAAATTTTAAATATTTTCTTTTGATTTTTTTCTTTGATTGTTCAGGAGTATATTATTTAATCTCCAAATATTTATAAATTTTTCAGGTTTTGTCTTGTTGCTCTCTAGTTTCAAACCATTGTGGTCAGAAGAGATACTTGGCATGATTTCAGTATTCTTAAATTCGCTAAGACTTGTTTTGTGACCTAAAATAAGATCGATCCTAAAGAAAGTTCCATGTGTGTTTGAGAATAATGTTTATTCTGCCACCATTGGATGGAATATTCTGTATATGGTTGTTAGGTTCACTTTGTGGTCCAAGTCCAATGTTTCTTTCTTGATTTTCTGTCTGCAGGCTCTATCCACTGATGAAAGTGGAGTCTTGAAGCTCCCTGGTATTAATTGTGCTGTTGTCTTAAATTTTTTTTTTTTTTTTTTTTTTGCTGTTGTCTTAAGGTTGGAGGCATATATATATTTATGGTTGTTATACCTTCTTGATGAATTGACCTCCCTCTTTGTCTCTCACCATTTTTGGCTTCTGTTTTGTCTGATTTAAGTATCGTTACTCCTGGTCTCTTGGTTTTCCCTTGCTTGGAGTATCTTTTCCCATCCCTTCACTTGGAGTATATGTGTGTCCTTAAAGCTGATGTGAATCTCCTGTAGGCAACATATAGTTGGGTCTTGCCTTTTTTAAATCCCATCCAGGCATCCCCTGTCTTTCGGTTGGAAACTTCAGCTTGCACGTTCAGGTAATTGTTGGTAGGCGCACACTCACTCATGCCGTCTCCCTGCTCTCTGGCTGTTCTCTGGTTCCCTCTCCTTCCTCTCGTTGCCTTTCTCCGGTGGCGTGCGCCAGGTCCTTTCTCTCTGTATTTTGTGAATCTGCTGTAGGTTTCTGCTTGTGGTTGCCAGGAGACTCATACAAAACATCTTATAGATACAAGTCTATTAGTATTCTGTCTTTTAACCTTCGTACCACAATTAAGTGGTTAACACACCATATTACAGTATTAGAGTATTCTGGATTTGGCTGTGTGTTTACTTTTACCAGTGTGCTGTATATTTTCATATGTTTTCATGATACTGATTAGAGTGTGTTCCTCAAGCATTTCTGATAAGGCAGTTCTAGGGGTGATGAATTCTCTCAGCTTTTGTTTTTCTGGATAATTCCTTGTTTTTCTTTCATTTCTGAAGGATAATTTTGTCAGATAGAATATTCTTCATTGGCAGTTTTTTGTTTGTTTGTTCAGTTTCAGCGCTTTGAATATATTACCCATGCTCTCCTGGCTCTCTGATGAGAAATCCACTGATAGCTTAATGGGTGGTGTTCCTTTATAGATTACAGTCTTCACTCTTGCTGCTTTTAGGATTTTCTCTTTGTCTTTGATTTTTGAACAGTTTCTTCATAGTGTATCTTAGAAAAGATCATTTGGGGTTGAAATAATGGGGTGACCTATATCTTCATGAACGTGGATGTCCAGATTTTTTCCCCAGGTTTGATAAGTTCTCCACCATTTTTCCTTTAAATAAGTTTTCTACTCTCTTCTCCCTTTCTTCTCTTTCTGGAACTCCAGTAATTCATATATATCAGTTCTTTTTCTGTGTCCCATAATTCACCTAGGCTCTCTCCGCTCTCTTTCACTCTTTCTTCTTTATTCTTCTGTGTCTGGGTTATTTCCAAGTTCCTTTCCTCTAACTCACAGATCCTTCTTCTGTGTGGTCTGTTCTGCTGTTGGCGCTCTCTGTGCAGTTTTCATTTCCTTCTCTGAGTCCTTCAGCTCCAGAATTTCTTTCTGGTTCTTTTTAAATAATTTCTCTCTGCTGATTTTTTTATTTTGTTCATATATTGTTTTTGTGATTTCATTGACTTGCCTTTCTGGGTCTTGTTGTAGCTCAGGTTTCCTTAGAACAGTTATTTGTAACTCTTTATTGAGTACATCGTGGAGCTCCACGTATTTGGATTTGCATACTGGGAAATTATTGCTGTCCTCCGGTGATGTCACATTTCCTTGATTGTTCACGTTTCTTGGCATTTCATGTTGCTGCTTTCACATTTGAGGTAGCAGTCACTTCCTCCCATATTTGCTAACTGCCTCAATAGATTCCGAAGCTCTCTCACAGCTTGTATGAAC